TAGGTAGGTATCTACTCGCATTTCAACTTCACAGTTTCTTATATTACACTATTATTCTTAATAAGTGTCAACCTTGGTTTCCTGGGGCTCAAATTTTGAGCCAGAAAACAAATATTTGGTTAGAGAATTTTATCATTTTACAAATGCCGTACAAACTGTGTCGTAACTGAGAATTAATTGTATAAGAATATTATATGGAAATAAAATATATATATTGCATACCTACATATTACATATAGTATAACTTATAAATATAGGTCTAGGAATTATAAATATGGAATATAAAATACTAAAATACCTATTTATTTCATTTTACAAAATTATGCTAAAATATTCAATTAAAACATGATAAAATAAACATTGAATTTACCTACCAATGTCTTCCAAACTATCATTAAGGCTGTTGAAAGTACATAGGCCGTGTTTTAGTGCGTTTAGATCAAGAAGTGAAAAATAAATATATATACTTAAATAAGTCCAATTTTAATTTTGAAAAAATCTTTGAATTTTTTGCTTAATGTCTCTGTTTTGTAAGAATGCGTTTTTTATTTAGTTTTTTTTTAGTAATACCAAGTATCTACCATAGTAAATATTAATTTTGAAAAAAAAAAGGAAATTCAATTGGTACTTTACTAATTAAATAATACAACAGATCAAATATCCATATCCTACAAAACCTAGAAAAGATAAGGAATTCAAATATGTTTTCAAAATTTAAATCGGGGTTTCAGTATTGGGAGAATTTTTCTTTTGCTTTTCGGAACTTTCGTAGTGAAAGGAGTTGAAACTTTTTTGATCACTTAATATAGAGACATGTGGCTGCTCTTAGGTATGCACACTACGGATTTCCAAGAATCTTAGCCGTAGTTCATCTTTAATTTCATAAAGCGTTAGGTGAACTCAAACACATTAAAGATCAATCACTACCCACAAAGTCCCACATCACTAACGGGCCACGGCGATTTGTAATATTGCCTAAATCCAACCCCTTAAAAATTGTCCGGTTACAACAACCTTAGGTAGTTAGGTGAATAAACAATCTTATAATTTTAAACAAGCTTAATACAAGTACATTTTATGCAAACTATATCATCTTTGTTACTCTTACTTTAAAAATATCTTCAACATTATCCATACATGTTTGAATATTTTTCGTCAAAGGCAAAATCACGAACTGATTGTATAAAATTTAAATTAGGAGCGAGGTAATAACTAATATTACGTCGAATATTGGAATCTTTGACCATTTACACTAAACTACTTTCGTTTAAATATACCATTAAATAGGTATATGTATTGTACTTTCCGTGTTTATATTTAAAATATGCAATAATATTATGTATTATCCTTAAAATAAGTAAAAATATGAAAAATAAAAATAGATCATGTGTAAAAGGTAAATTGTGGACATAAAAACATTATTAACCAAATTTGAAGAAAGGTGTTTCAAAAAACACTTACCAATGCATATAAATTCTATAGCTCTGAGTACGACATTCACATCCGTTTCGTAAAATAACAAAATATGTAGACATTTCATCCAATTTATGAAATTAAATTTGATTTTTTAAGCATCGATTAAAAAATTTTCATAAAACGCACTCGAAATTTTACTTGATAGGAACTCGTTTGTTCATTTGCGGGCAAACCAGAATAAACCATATTTACACCATATACATTATTACATTAACATAACGTTAATTTAAAAAAGAAATTAAAAAAGAAATAAGTAGGCTAAACTCAACAAACAGTTAACATTATTAAAGTTAAGTTCAATAATTAAACGTGCTTACTAAAAACTATGTATTAAAGGAATAAACAACTAAAAAGAACTGATTGTTTTTGTTGTGTGAAAATATAGTTTCATAAATGAATAATTATGGTGGTCTGAAAATTGTTGTTGGACTTCATTATTAATTTAATGTTTATTTACCATAGGACATTTGGTGTCCAGTTTTAAATTTACCTAGATGTGTTCCTTTTTTTAAAATAGTTAGATAATCGGATAACATTGCGTACATATGAGTTCTTACGGGGATTCGTACAGACAGTTTATAAGGAGTTCAATATAGGCAATTTTCGAAGTGCGTGTTTGTCGTGTAAATATGTATTAGACTATTAGCAACTAGCAAGTGATCATCAGTAGTGTGACTGTCAATAACTTGTAATAATTTATTCGATGCGTATAATTTTTATCAGAAGTATCAATCCTTTGCCAGTTGTATTAAACTATTAACTCACCTATCATAATATGATGGACATAATACATAAAAAGAAGAAACAGGAGACCAAAATATTCAAAATCATTTTATGAACATAGTGGCAATATGTATCTAAATGTCTAACGAAATTCATACTTTGCCACATACAGTGGTTAGATTTTAAAAATGAGATATGTGAATATTAAATTTGAATTCATATGTCTAATTACATGAACAAAAACTTGACATGACTCAGTGGCCCATCCAATTAATATTCACTAAATTTGATTGAACCATTAAATTAATCAATTTGTCATACAACCTGACATTGAACAAGTATATTTACTTTTTAGGGTCCATACAAACATATTAAATTAATAATTAAGTACTAAAATTGAAAGGACCAATCATGGGCCATTAAACTATGTCTAAAAGGGACAATTGACTCACTATTTTGAAATATTATCAAATTAATTATGCAAGTAGGTACCTTTGATTTTAAAAATCTAACTTTGCATAATGTTTTTAATATTATAAATTGGTTAACTTTTAATCGTAAAAAGTTGAATAAATACATTCAATGTAATTGAAATTTTAATGAAACATGAATTAAATGAAACAAAATTTAACATTTTTACCTATAAATTTAAACATCATACATTTTTGAAATCAAAACACTAGATTGCAGCAACTACATTATTATAATATTTTCCTTTATAAAATGAACATACATTTTTGTCAATCGTAAAGTTTGTTTTAATGAAAAAATTAATGAGGTTGTAAGGGTTTAATATTATATTTATTATAATTGATTTTTCTTTAATCATTAGATATTAGTTATTACAAATTAATTAAAAGTGTTAAATTGACATTTTTGATATACTTAATTTTCATGAAAGAATAAAACACCTTATTTGTTCCGATAATTTAATCACTGAAGTCTAAAAGAATTTTTGTTATGTTACTAATTGAAAACAATAATAAATAATTGTAACAAAAATATAAAGAAAAAAATTGAATACACAAAAAAACATGAAACTTTATACCTAACTAGATTCAAAACGAATTAGTAACAAAATATTCATAAGCTATGATAAACAATATACTTGAGTATATTTAAACCACAATAAAAAAATGTTATCATTTTGTTTATTTGTATACAGGCCATATTTTTTAAGTAAAATAATAACTAGTCTTAAGCAAAATAACGCACAATACTGCAACGTTTAGGTAAAATAAATAATTAATGATATTAGTATTCTATGATTATAAGATAATACATTCATAAAAAAAACGAGGAAGCACAATAAAAAATAATTTCTAAGTTAAATAGTTTTTGATTAATCAGTTATTAAAATATAAACAGAATAAATAATCGTATTTGGTATAAGTTAACAACATTAACCTTTTTATAATTACTTGTTTTAAAATACTAACAAAAATTAAAGGTTGATAACAGGCAAGTACATAACATTTAAAAACATTTTGATTATTAATGTAGCATAATATTTAGTGATACAATGACAAGACCAAAAGTAGACTAAAAATAATACACTTATTTCTATTTTGACTCGATTAAAATATGACAAAATTAAATTTCTCAAAAAGGAACATACAATTTAAATAATATTTTATTTATGAATTTAATAATTTTAGCTATTCGTTAATTATACAAATACAATTTATTATGAATAACTAAAATTAATTTCAGTAAACAAAATATTATTAAATATATTATCATAACTCATAAATACATACTGGCTAAATGCCATAAGCCAATATTAATAATAATTATTGTTTAAAAATATTTAATCAGTCATTTTAAATGCTCATTTTCAATTATTTAAGGAACAATATAAATAGTAAGGCATCAAATTGTATGTTAAGATTAAAGATGGTAAGGAAATCAATGTACAAAATAAAAAATGAACTATTTAAAATGAAATTAAAGACAAGGAAAAAAATACTTTTATGACTACTATACAATTATAATGTCAAGTTGAATATAATATAATTTATACAAATTTCAACTATAAATGTATAATAATTTTTTTGTAATTAATTCCAATTAGTTAATAAGTATTTTCATTTGGTATTTTAGTCACCCATATTCTAAATCAATTGTTGTGTTTCAATTACAATAATTCATCATTTTTATTGTTTTACAGTATTATTTTAATGTATACAAATGTAAATAATAATATTAAATAGAAATTATGTTTTGTTATTGAAAATACACTTAATGCATGGCAATAAATTATCAGTAATTACTTTTGAAAAATTAAAAATTAAATCATTTATTTAATTAACGTGATTACCTATAGCATTATTGAGTTACTTTAATTACATAATTATATGTATATATCTTGAAATTCATAAAATGGTCAGAAAAAATTCAAAATTGTTTAAGAATTTAGATAATACATAGTATAATATATTGTTAAATATAGATGGTATTACTAACTTGAAACAATAAAATAATTTTTCTTTGAAAACAATATTTGACTGAAGTATAGATGTCTTTTATTGAAAACATTACCTTGTATATTATGCGGTATAAATGTAAATACATATTTGTACCATACAAATTGATCAGTAAGATGAGTTTAAAAACTACTTAATACAGTTTAATTTATTGAACATCGCTGAATGGTTTGTTTTTTTCCTTAACTGTATTGAATAACTGTTATAAAGTAAGCAACTTACTGATAAATAATAAGAATAAATTGGTTAAACACACTTCACAAATTCAAATAATACCAACTTCATAAAATATATGTCTAAGATCATACTATTTTTTTATAATTCATCTCTAAATATGTAATATCCCTCACTTTCTGGAGAAATAAATGTATAATAGTTGTCCAATACTTCGTTAAAGCTTAGTACGCCGTCTTGGTTCTTGTCTGCTTTCAAAATTAAATTTTCTGCTTCACTTTCTGCAATCATGCTGTAAAATTAAATGTGCAATAAGTATTATACATTATTCATTTCATATCACAATACATATTGTATGTAAAAGATTTTCTTATTTGAATTTAATTGAATATTTAAAAATTATAATTATATTTTAATTTCAAAGATTTTTTTAAAATAAATGGGTAACACTTATATTTATAATATATCAAAAAAAATTTGCTAATAATGTGATTTATAAAGTTATACATTTATATGAAGTTATATTATATTATATTTATATGGTGGAGATATAAAACCATAGTAGTATTAAATTTCTCACTTATTGTTTGGTGATGCCCAATTATGCACTTCACCTTCATCTAATACTCCGTCTTTATTAACATCGAGTTCTACAATAAACTTGGATTTTTCTTCCTGAAGCCATTCTTCAGAGTGTTCTGCTCCTAAAATGTAGTTAAACAACTTTTACAGAAATTCATGCTTATTGAAAAAATTAAACAATATTAAGTAAAATTATCTTACTTCTATCTCCTATAAACTCATCAAATGTAATTTTTCCGTCTTTATCACTGTCAAATCGATTCATTACACCACGCAATACTGCAGGTTGCATGTGGGAGTAATCTTCGGGAGTATAAAAATAGCGAAATTCTTCTTTACTTAAATGACCGTCCTTATCAACATCAGCAGCCAAAAATAATTGTTTTTCATCTTCTGTCATCTAAATAAAAACCACAAATGATTAGTAGTTTTAAATTTGTATAAAATATTTATGGTATTTTTTTATTATTATCATGTTTATTAGAAAGTGTGGAGACTAAAAGGACATGCTATTATCAATTTCGCTCATCACTTGGTGGATCATTGTGATGTATTATAGAATTATTATTACAAATGTAATTCATTACTTTATAAAAAATTGGCAATTAAGCTGATTTATTTTTATATAATTGATTTTTATCAAAGTTGAAGTAGAAAATTTTACAGGAGGAAATTGGTTTATCACATTAACGTTTTTATAACTCTGTCAAAGTAATGATGATCATGAAAATAAAATACTCCAAATTCCACTCAGAACTAAATAAATGCTTGTTTTTTGTATAGAGTCTGTGTACTGGTGATTGGTGACTCCGCCTACTAGATGCCTTGTGCAATCAAAAGATAATATTTGAAGTGACGTACACTCACATAAAGAAGTGCATTTTTAAAATATGCAGGTGGCAGCTTGTGTTGAAAGCACAAGGCACTAACACCGGTACTAGGTGTTGCAAACTTTAAGACAGGTGGAATCACCAACCGCTAGTATGTTTGACACGGACTCTAGTAAATTTAATGTATTCCATGACAAAAATTAAGATTTCTTTATTAAATTATTTATCAAACAATTACTTCATCATCAAAATGTTCACTTGAACCATAAGTGTCACCAACATATTCCTTCCATGTAATATAGCTGTTTTCATCAAGATCACTAGTTAGGAATTCCGCATCAGATTCTTCAGTTGATAATTTCCTAAAAACAATACATTATGGATGAAATTTACATATTTTAGAATTTGAAGAAAATGTTGATTGCATAAAATACTCAGTATAATAATATATTATAGGAACTAGAATAAATATTTATATTAATTGTTTATGTTTTACTTTAAATTTATATTTTAGTAAAATTATAAACACATAATAATTGAATAAAATATTTACAAAAATATGTTTAAACTAGAATCACCTTATTCCAATTTTATCACTTCAATATTTTATTTACGTCCATTTTAAATAAATAATAAGATATTTATCAACATCACATTTGAGGCTATCATAAAGGCTGAATCTTTTATGTTGTATATAATTATAAGTACTTATTTGCTGTTTTATAATATTGTTAATTGAGATATTATCATTACCTCTTATAGTTAAAATATGAAAAACCTGACATAGATGTGTAAAAATATGTTGATGGATTTTGTTGTTTTCATATATAATGCTATTCAATTTAATTTAATTTAAATTATGAAACTACTTAGTTCTGGTAAAATAACACATGTGTACAAAAACAATATAAAACAATTAAGAATGTTATATAACACCTGATGTATTTCACAACTTGTACACAAAGTACACATAGTAAACAAAACAAAACAAAAAATGTGTACAATATGCTTATACATACCTAAATAATATGAATTATTTTAAAATATGATTGTTCCATAGTACTTTTGTGTTAGCTAGTATTACTAAGTAAAATATTTTTCATAATAGTTGGTACAGCTCATAACTTTGTAAATAAAATAATTTATAAGTAATATCAATTTAAAACATGTTAAAATGTTAACAAATCTAATATTAAAAATTTAATGATGTAACAGAACCAATATGATTTTACCATTATTTTTCAATAGTAATTTACTAGTTTTATTTAAATATTAATTTTTTTTTTTTATATACATTTTGTAGCATTTGCCTGGAAATTACATGGGAAAAAAATATAAAACTAAAAAAATTATAGCTTGAAAAGTCAAAATAAATGTATCATATACCTGATAAAAGGTTCTTAATATATATAGTATTCATATTATAATACATTTTAGTTAAAGGTAGAGCACAATCGTTTGTTAATAAAAAATTTTCTATCTATGAATATCAATGTATAAGATTAAACTATCTTTATATAAATAATAAGATACATAATTCATAGTTACCGATAAGAATCCAATAATTTTTCTAACAGTTCTTTTTTTTCAATCAAACCATTTTTATTTATATCCATACTTTCGAGTATAATGGTCATCCGTGATTTTATCTCCGATGGTTCTAAATGTTTTATATCTTCTAATTCATCCTCTTCACCTTAAAGCAAAGTACAAAATTAAATTAATACAATTTCATAACTGATGAACATCATATTACTATCCTTTTTTTTTAATTTGAGATAACCTGACAACAATGGCCATTGGGACGTGGAATGCACATGGATTTACAATTTACACATCATATTTATTTTTAAAAAAGGATCGAAGGTTAACAAATTTATCAGTAAGATTTTGAATTTGGTTGAATAGATTGACGGCTACAATGAATTTGTTAGTAGTAAAGATAGAGCCGGGGTCATGATTGAATGAGTGGAAATTTAGAATTTTGAAGATCATATTATGTTTATACAGAACATCATCATATCTTTATTTTTTTTAAATATAAATATCAAGTAAAAACATAGGTATGCATGCATGTTTATATATTTATTAAACATTTATCAGAGTCATCATCAGTATTATTAGGTAAATTAATAATAAAAGTATTGTCAACGTTAATGTATTTTAGGCAGATATTTATTAGGGTTTTAATTTTTAGTTCTTAGCTGTATTACATATCATAAAATATTAAGTATTTATGTAAAATAAAAAAATATGTCGGCTGGATAGTAGAAAAGAAGTAGCGAGCATCTTACCCAAGATTCCGGCATAAGCAGAGTCAGTCCGGTGGTCATGTTCAGAGATTGCCCTGCGCCTAGAAATGATTAGGTTTTCTTCAATTTCCTGACCGTCGGTCAAGTGACCAACGCCAGACAAGACAGCTGCTAGCAGCGTCTCGGTGACCGCCATCAGAACAAAAGTAACAGGAAAATAGTTCATCGTTGGTGCTGGTAAAAAACAAAGGAATTTCCGCCGATTGTCGTTCAGTAGTAGGTTCCTATGTCACCGGTGGCCGTCAACGAAGCACTCGGCAATAACTACTAACTAGTAACTTGAAACTAGTAAGTACAAAGTGTGCCTGTCGGCTATATGAGGCCCTCGAGTCCAGACAGTCGTCACTCGTCAGTCGTATTGTCGTAAACTCGTAACAGTCGTAACTGATGGTGGTTCGGCGATTCGGCGGCGATACACTGACGGAGTGATAACGTTGTAGGTGATAACTCAGCGAATCATATCGCTGTGAGTGATAACACAGACTTCTGCCGACTGGAGTTTTGCGTATTGCCTAAAAATGGTTAATGCCTAATTGTAACATTAGTCATTACAGAAACTCGCTCATTATTGTGTATAATACTTATTATTAATTATTTTATAGTTACTTATTATTAATTTATAATAAACATTTTAACATTTTAATTTCTGAAAAAATTATTAAATTAAAACGAAATTTTCTCTTTAACACGATAAGCTGTCTATATCCCTTTATATTTTCTTATTTATAATTCTGATTGTACAACCTAAGCTCACAGTTCAGAGTGCCTATACCTAATTACTTATTATTAGTTATTATTCATTAAGTCATTACTCATTGTTAGGTACCATTTGTTACCAATTGTATGATTTTATAAGGTCATCTGGTATCTATCAGCTTCCTTAACGGATTAAGAGGACCAGGGCGCTACACCCGCATTATGTATGTATAACATAGCAAAAATTGTTTTGCGGGGGATAGAACCACTTAGGCTGTAGTGACAGTTTAGACTCTAAATGTATATACAATATAGTTAAGATTTAAGAACATTATCTGTGAAATATAGTTTTTATATTTTTTTATAGCACTTATACGAAAAACATTCTTATTGTTTCAAAATCCATTATTTTTTAGTTTTTCAAACTTAAATAAAATCTTTGTAGTTATTTTATCAAAAAAATAAAACCGATACTTCACAGCCAAAGTTCTTCTTTTCATGTGGTAAAAATTTTGTTTCTTAGTTATGAATATAGCCTTCTCGGGTTAGGTTAGGTTTTTTTTGCTATGTGATACATTTGTATGAGTAAGACGGAGACATGTAGATTGAGACTTTTACAAAAAATATACAGACAACATTTTTTATCAATATTATATAAAAGTTATAGAAAATAGTCGTTAAATATATCGCTTTCCAAATAGCTTTTCTATACGACTATATACCTACCTATATATTGCTTTAACTCTATCGTTGCATTGCGAATAGTCGCATAGCTTGCAGTTGATATTTGAAGGTAATACCTGACTACCTGAGGTATTCAAAAAATTAATATATAGATATACCGTGCCTCATATACCTACATGATATAAAATTTTTATTTTATTCCGAGTTTTTTTAGAGAAATATTCATAGTGTTTACTTATAATTGATTGTAAACCCTGTCCTATTATTATTATTAAACGAACAACTAACTATGAAATCGAACTTACCACATTTAAAATGATATATCACACATAAAGATTGTAATTATTGATCCCGGTTACCTTACTAGACTTACTTATCTCGATTTTCCACCTCTGACTGACCTAGATGTGTATTGTGCGTGTGTTATAGTTCAGCTAGAATTGGTTGGGTTTGCCGCTCAAAAACTATAGTGAGCTATGTGATGTAGTTATACATCATTAGATGTATAGATCGCCTACAAATAACGGCTCTTTTGGCCTAAAAGATAAAAAATTGTATACAACGTAGGTATTTGAGCCAATAAATATATATGTATGATGATATACTTAGATGAATCTAAATTGATTATCTGTGCTACACTGGTGCAGGTAACGATGTATAAAAATAATAATAATAACAATGGTATAATTTGCACCAACACAGAAATATATAATAGGTACCTGCACACAGATTAACAAACTATAGTGGAGCGCAGCTGGAATCTGGTTGCTGGTCCCTATCTAAAAAATGGTTAAAATTTAGCACAAAATACACAAAAAATTATACACAATAAATATTAAAAATGATAATAATATGGCGATTTGCTCTAAGTCTTTATTCGTTGGCTTGAGAAAGCCCCGGAAAAAACATTTAAATAGTTTTCATTAAAATACATAAGAATACTATTTATCACAACAGGTAAAATATTTTATTTTCAAATAATGTTGTTGTATCAATGAATTGTGAATTGCATAAGTAGGTATTATGTTTATTACCTATACTCAGATATCTATGCTTAATAAATCATTGACAATATCATTATGATTTTCATATTTTTATTACCCATCAAATTAATATTTTAAATTAACAAAACAAAGTCGTCCACTTTTGTGGGTTCTATTTACATGCCATTTAATGATTTAAGCATATATTTCCTCATTATTATTCACATAGTGTCATCTAGCCACATATAATGATTAAAGTCATAAGTTGAAAATAATAAAATATAGATAGGTATTAGTGGTTTTATTGTTGTTATAATAATATTACATATTTTTCACTTCATTTATAAGTATTGTATAATATATAGGTAAAAACAATTGTATTTAAATTAACAATTAGCCTTCAAAACTTTTAAGTTATTCAAGCTGCAGTTCCATTCTTATTAGTTTTTTGATTATTACATCATAATTTATTTTTGACAAAACTTCATTTATCAGTTCGTCTATAATTGATTCTGTAATTCTTAATAAAGAAAAAAATCATTAATTTATATAAAACTAATAATTGATACAATTAAAAATATACTTAACATAAACATTTTTCCTAGAAAAAAATAATTTTGAAAAAAGTATAGAACTTAGTAAGGATAAAATAAAGCTTTGGAGTTTAATGAAGTTTGGAAAAGTTTTTTGAAAAATGATGATTTAGAAATAAATAAAATAATTGTATTAAATGACAACCTCTGAACAATTTATAATTGTTTTGAATTACCTATCTGTTAATCATATGTTTATTGTTTATAGAACATTATATGAATAAATATTATATTTTGTTACCTACCATAGGTACTTTTATTAAATAAATAATTTTTAGGTAGGTTTGTAAAACAAAAATATTTATTACTTGATAAATACAAATTGAAAATGTTTAACTTTAGAAAACCAAAATAACTTGTGTTAGTTAAGTCAACATTAAGAATCGTAAGTTTAAAATAAATATCCGGAAATCATATTAAGATTTAGTTAATGTACCTAATCAAAAAATACAATCACATACTTTGGGGTATTTACCACAATAATAATCAAGATACCAAAGATATCTTCTCCACATCATTGGTATATTAATGGTATATATTAATATTGTATTATAATACAAATTATAAATATATTTACTTGGATAAAATATTAACATCATGTTCTGTTGTTAATGATTTTTGTTTGAAATTTATTTTATATAAATAATTATTATTTGCATGTTCCTGAGCTATGTTTAAAAGCATAGATCCATTTTGAGAAAGTCTTAAATCTTAATAACATACAAATAATAGATTAAAATTTAATTAATATTTGGTATATTTTTTAATTAAATATAGGGTAATTTGTTGCATAATATGCTTTAGACTTTTTAAAAAAAATCCTCTATTTGAACAATAAATTTAACTAGTTTAGTACTTTTAATGGGAAAATTTCTCCAGATGTTTTCTTTTACAATGAATAGACCAACATTACTGGTTATTGTTAATTGGTTTGACCTGAAACATCAATTAATTAATTAAAACTATTATCAGTTATCACAATATCATTAAGAGGTAAGCCAACAAAGTCATAACTTATAATGTATAAATTATGTTTAAAGTAAATTCCTTTAAGGTTTTCAACGCCTTAAATACCCACCTGACAATACACTGGTAGATATAGATTTTTGAGTGTTCTTATTATTATATTTTGTTTAATATTGCATTATAATATTCATCAAATGATTTTTAAATTATATACTTACTTAAATACTTTTGAAGCAGTTGGAAATTGAATTGCTTCATTAGTATCAATTAATTTTTCATCCTGTATCTTTTTAAAAAACAATTCATAGTTTGTTTCCTAAAATAAAATTAGGTGCTATAAAAATTATAAGCATAATATGCTATATAGTATATAATATGTCTTACATTTGATTTTCCAAAAGGGTATTCTTCCATTACAGTTTTGACATTGTCTAAATTATTTTTCATTCTTAAATTGTCTTTTGATACTATTTTATTTTTTGTTAATTCATTTGATTTTTTTGACCATCCCTGAGCATAATATGATCCCAATTTTGGTTTATCTTGATTATACATACTTAATCGATTTGAGTTGGCCGAAAACAATTGGGTTTTAGGTTTACTTAAAGCTTTATAAGAAAGCTTATTTAATATATTGTTATCAACATTGTTACTATGATGGCCATCGTCTGTGTCTTTATAACCAGATTCCTCCAATATATTCTCTAAATCTTTGCAATGTTTAACTAAATCCTAAAATTATTAAGTCAAAAAATATTCATGTAGTATGTAATAGTGATAATGACAGAACAATTTTAGTTAATATATTACGTACAAAACTTTCTTTCTTTCTTTTCTTATATATTTCACCATATATATATTTTCCAGTAGTTGACGATAAAGCAGATATAATTTGGATCAAATTTTTCATTTTACTTTGAATAGGGTTATAAGTTCCGGCTTCCAAAGTTTTTGAACATATCTTAAGGAAGTATAGAATATTTAAATGCCTACATATTATTTATAACTAGGGAACGGATTTTATTGTAAATACATATTTTTATTGGAATGAGATATTTTTAATCTGATAAAAAATGTGCACGATTCAGACCATTCTTATTAAAATAAGGCCAATTTTATTTTACATATTTTTACATATTTGGGTAAAAATACATATATTCGCATATTTTGTAAATAACTGAATATTTCGTAAATATTTGGGTATTTTTGGTTTTTTTCGTCAATTCACGTCAAAGATTATTTGCCTTATCTTAATGGCATTCAGATACCCTATGGTCTATATATTAATATTATACGCTATCGACGAAAGCCTAAAATAATAATATTTGTAATTTTCAATGACGATAAACATTATCTACGTTCTCTAAATGGACTTACGTACTTTATACACTGCTATCGTATTATACACTGTGGACAAGTGTGAAGTGGGTAGTTAACATGTTTATTCAATGTTACGGTCTTCAGTCTTCAGTCTAGTTACTGTTCTGGCGGGAGTAATCATTTGCATCGTTTTTTTCTTCATATCTACATCGAAATTTTGTTGTTTTTTTTATAAAATTGTTTAAAATACCTAAAGTTGTAAGTTCATTCAATAATAAGGTAGCCGCATATTTAAAAGAATTTCCGAATGAAACATTTCAAAGTGATGGGAAAGTTTTATACTGTAAATGTTGTGAAAAATCGGGGTTATTAACTATCATTACGTCAGTTGATGTGTAACGTTCATTCAGTCAATACAAACATTTTACGACCAAATCGCCGCCATTTTACGTTTTTAAATCTTAGAGAATATGTAGTTTCGCATTGTTTTAATAATTATTAATTAGATAAGAGATACAATTGTCAATTGTTATACTTACTTTTAGTACTTATTTTTTCTGTTAAGCGGTCTTTGCATATTTTGAATTTTTTTTACATATTTCAATAAAAATAATTACATATTTATGTACATATTTTGATTTTTTTATTACAATAAAATCCGTTCCCTATTTATAACTAATTGTATTTATAAATACATTACCTTTGTGGCATTAATTGTTAATTTATAGCATTTAATTAATTTAATTTGAAAGTCTTTTCTTAATGTGCCATTTTTTTTATTGTGTAGGTCTTCATTTTTTGATTCTTTTTTAATTTCAGAAAGCTGAAATACAATTATTAATTCAAAATGTTATAATAGTCAATGATGTGATCTAACAACAAAATTCAACAACCTGATCTACTGATAAATTGGGATTACTTGATAATTGTTTGACTCTGTTATGGAATAAGTTTATGCCTACCACCAAAAAAGAGGACAAAATAGGATCAACCATTTACAGTAATCAGTGGCAGGCTCAGGTTACAAAATGTTGTAAACGATTATAGACTTGCAGGTATTTATTATATTATATGATCAACCAAAAAAATATGCACTTTGCATTGAAATTCGGGCCCTAATTATATATAATAAATGTAAAGTCAAATTCAAGAGATGTCACCCATAAAAAAATTAAATATTTGGTGACTTTTTAAAATTAATTTATTGGCAACTTTTGACAGCAAATTTTCTCTTGGATCACAAAGTTAACTGTCACCCAAAATATGTTTAAGAATTTTTTTTTTTGTTTGTAATCAAGGATTCTTCCAGTATAAGTTCTTTGATTTTCTTCAACAGCAACTTTTCTGGTATGACAGTGAATCTAGTTGGTGCATTAAGGAGGTCAAAATTTAAAATTTCCAATAGTTTTCAAAAGCAACGGGAAAAGTAAGCAAAAATCTAAGGAAAAACTGGAATTTTTAGCCAAACCCAGTTTTTGACAAAATCGATTTTGGTTTTCAATGTAACTCTAAAAAAATTAACAATAGATAGGTACATGAAATTTTCACTAAATGTTTGTGTTAGCATTTTTTATACACCATACAATTTTAAAATATTTTGACTCGTGTTGAACCATTCATAGAAATCATAGCCATATGAAATGTTCGTTTGTTATTCGTTTTTTTAAACTAATGTCCATAACAAACTTTTCACTCAGTCAAAAAACTTGAAAATGTAATACAAAGTCCTCGTAAGTTGTTGTTAGTGCACATTAAAAAAAAATTGAGCGTAAATCTACAATAATTTTTGATGAGAGTTTTAACTTAGAATTTTCAATTTTGCCGACAGTCGTAAAAATCACGGAAATTAGCAAATTATATGTATTTAGTTATTCATAATCTTCTGTTATAAAGTGTCGCTACAGTTTGGCTTCTTTTTTCACCCGTAGCATCTCAAATAAATTAATGTATATCCGCATACATGCTTATTGTAAATTTTAATTACAGATTGTATGTTTTTTTAAATAAAGTTTAAAAAAAAAAAGAAAAAAAAGATATTCATAAAAAATTTTCTTTTTTTATCTAAGATTTAAAAATGTAACACAAGATTCCTTATATGCTTATCTACCTTTATAAAAAATTAATTTCTACTGGAAAATCAAATTAAATTTTTATGAGTTTTTTCCAAATTTTTACATTATTTGATGTTCACTCGATTTCTCTTGCAGTGATTTTCTTATTTTGTTTTTATTCAAAAACAATTTACTGTAGACACATGCAATTTAAATCACATGTTTATTTCATCAGATCATATACTTGATAAAATTTTTAAAATATTTTGATTTCAACTTTCATTTTTTTAAATTTTTTTTTTTAAATGTCAATAAAATTTATTAGTTGGGTCAAAAGGCATGAAGATTTAATGCAAGACTTTTGATATAGATATCGTTACAATAGCAGTTGAAGAATATTAAAAATATATAGTCACGAAAGTTCAAATGTTGACAGTATTTATCAAATTAAAAATTGAAAATGTTTTTGTAGTTAAAAATTTATAAAATTTTCAATTTTTACAGCTAAGGATTGAAAATTTAAAACAGATTTCCACTTAAGCTGTGTTTTCTGTAAATAAAAAATCTTAAAAATATATTATTCATATGGTTATTTTGTTCAGACATTTTAAGTTCAAATTTGGACAAAATCGCATATTAATACAAACAATAATGTGTATCATTTTGTTGTAATTCGGTTCCAAAACAGCCCAATTTTACATAGGTATATTTAATATTTTTCCAGTATCGCTGATAATTTAAGAATAATATTAATTCGACTTACCGGCTACCATATTAAAAATAAGTAATAACAATATGTCAATATAAAATATCATAGACTGCAGACATTTTACATACCGTCTCCGCTCAGATTCGATTTTCGTAAACCTACAATGATGTGATATCATTGAATTAAAATTTAATATCATTCATTACAGCGAAATCCTAGATGCCCTAAAGTACAGCAGAACGACATCCACTTAACCGCTTTTAATTACTGTATATATATACTAGGTTATATACTAAAAGGTTTCCATTGGAACTTATTTTCATATTTCTGACCACCAGGGGCACCCGAAGAAAAATACGTTCAACATGCAAGGAACAAAATGCAGTTTAGTAAAAGTGCTTGTTTTTAAATTTTAAAAATGTGTATTGTAATTATTAGTACCTGCTTTTTAAACTAGGTATTTATTTATGTACTAATTAATAAATTGTTCCATCTTAGCCAACTTAAAAAAAACATAGATACCTCTAATAATAAAAAAGTGGATAAATGGGTAACGCTCCGATGTACATTAGATGTCTAGGATTTCATTGCAATAAATATGTTAAACTTGAATTCAAATGGTATAAATTCATTGAATACAATGACGATTCTGAGAGAGCCTATATTTTAGTTTATTGCAATGTATATCATGATGTATAATTGTAATCAAATTACCTAATTTATTTTACTATTAGCCATTAAAGGCATTAAAACTACAGTAAATTAAATACCTACATTTTTGCAGAAAAAATTTCAATTTAAAATATCATTAATGACACAATTGTGTGTATACAATTATGAGTACCACAAAGGTACCATGTACCTGGTAATAATATTATTAAATTACAACAAAATAACTAAAACAGTTATTTTTGGTTAAAATGTGTAATTTCGTCCAAATTTAAACTTAAAATTACTAAAAAAATAAACTGTTTTTCTATATATTTTTAATTTTTTGATTACAGAATTATCTACTAACATGCAACTTAGTCTTAAATGTTCAATCTTTTTAACAAAACTAATGTTTTTAAACTGCTATTGTAGCAATATATCAGTTACCCGCATGTATTAAATTTTTAAGCTTTTTGATCCAATTAATACAATTTTATTGAAATTTATAGAAAAAAAAAACTTAAAGAATTATAAACTGAAAATGTCCGTCAACAGCTTAAAACGAGTCAATATATTTTGAACATTTAATTTAGTTTAAGAAATGATAAAATAAACATTTGGTGACAATTTTAAGTTTCTAGAGCTATTCATTTTTGAATTTCAACAAAATAGGAAAATCTTTCCATGAGAAATCAGAAATGTTAACTTCAAACGCTCATATAAAAATTTAATTTGACTTTTCGGTAGAATTTTTTTTTATAAATGTAGGTAGATAAGCTTTAAAGTTATAACTTATAAGGAATCATGTATTAAGTTTTAAAATCTTAGATTTAAAAAAAATCTTTAATACATTTCTAACTCAAATAATATGCAAATTTTCGCGATTTTTGCGTAGAAAATTTTAAATTCAAACGCTCATATAAAAATTATTGTGAATTTACACTCGACTTACTTTTAAATTCCCACTAAAAAAAACTTACGCGAAGAACTTTGTATTACATTATGAACGAACGAAATTTTTTTATAGAAATGTATGTAAAAAAATTGTGTATGTCTATAAATAATTCAACACGAGTAAAGTTATTTATTTATGGTGTTTAAGAAATGTGGATATAAACATTCAGTGGATATTTCATGTATCTATGGGGTAATTTTTTCTATAGAGTTACATCTAGAACCAAAATCGATTTTGTCAAAAACAATTTTTGAGCAAAAATCTCAGTTTTTCCTTAATTATTTGTTTGTTTTTCCTGAAGCTTTTTAAAACCATTGGGAGTTTTTTACTTTTGAACCTCCGAAGTACCAATTAGATTCATTTCCCTATCAGAAAAGAAACGATTGAAGAAAATTGAATCATTTTTACTGTCCCAAAACGTAATGACAGACACAAGCAATTTTTTTTTTTTAAAAACGCCACATCGTAAAATTTATACTTTCATCGGAACGATCTAAAAATTGAAACAGTAATTTTTACTTTTTTATTTAGGTTATCACAATTTTTTTAAAGTAGGAAAAAACTATTTTACTGTATTTCAAAATTTCAAAATTATTGTGTATTATTGTAAATTTTAAATATATATAATAGGTAATACATTTTTTTTAACCACAGTGGTGGCTGCATACCACTATTTACTAATTTTTATTTTACCTTCCTAACTGTGCATTACTATTCCTTTTTAAAACCATACAAATTATCATATTAAAATTAATTATGGTTACTTATATTTGATGGTATTTTTCTATTTAAGTCAAATATTACAATATTTACAATTTAAATCAAACTTAAAACCATTATTATTTAATAATAAATTGATAGATAAGTGTTCATTGAACATCAAAGTAAATCATTACTGAATTCTAATTATTTACCAGTGAATTGAGATCAAATATGTAATTATTTGGTAGTTGTTCACATTCTTTAATTTTAATTAGTTTTCTTTTAGCACTTCTTAGAACGGGTGGCAGAAGTGCATTTTCTAAAATATTATAAAATTCATTAAATGTCTTAAACATACGGCTGTAACAAAAGCAAAACATGTAATGGAGTTAAAATTAATTAATTAATATTAAAATATTATAAGTATAGTAAATACTTTCTAAGCCCGTGTATATGATTAAGATCAAAAGGATCATGCAATAAGTGTAAATTAACTGAACCATGTGGGCTAAATTGGCTGTTAGTGTATTTATGTAATGAGTGTTCACTTTGTTTAACTTCTGAATCATTTTCAATAGTATATATTTTTTTAGAGTCTGTATCTTTAGTTGATTCCATTAAAATGTTCCAATGTTGATCATCTATTTGTTTTTGTCGAGAGCGATTGATTTTTTTGTAAGTTCTATTAAAATCTCCTTCGGAATTATACTGAAATGATTGAAAAATAATGATAAAAATACTGCAGAAATAATTTAATACTATCCGAATTCAAAAATGGTAATGTACTTCATTTGAAAATAATATTATTCTACTGAAAATTGTTTTTTCAAAAAATTAACCGAGTTTTTAATATTAGTATCTAACTTAGCAAAAAATTCTTTTAAATCATCCATAAATTATTAAAATGTGATTTTGTTAAACTAAATAATCAAATACTCACTTTGAATTTGAAATGGCAATGAAAAATGTAATTATAATAATTTGCACTTTCCACATATTTTAATAGTTAAACCAACATTGTTCGAGGGCTTACTGGCAAATAATTTCTATAACTGACAAATATGCAGAAGTCACAACAATCCGAGTTCCATTGGCTGGCTAACAGACCCACAACAGCAATAACCTAATGATTTAAGAAATAATTTAAATTTGTAATTCTATTTCCTAATTTATGTTATAAATAGGTAATTACAAGGGTACGAATAATCAGTGGACTGTGGGGGTTGAAATACAAGAAAAAATTATTTAGAGCATCACTATATAAAATACTATGATTGAAATTACAAAATTCGTCAAATAATCGTTATCCAATACTCTACCAGTGTACGTGAATCATTATAAAATAAACCATTTACCATAGACTATAGACCTAATAACGAATGGACAGCGCTGAGAAAAAACCAGTGGATTAGAGAGAAAGAATGTTCTACCTATTGATGTATCAGAACCTAGCAATATTGAAAATATGCATGGATAAAAAAATGTAATGTAAATTATGGTCCTCTGTGGCTGTATGATATTCCCAAACGACCCAAACGTATTGCCATTTGCCACCAACGTGGCAACGTCCACTGTCTATTTTCCCTGTCACTCTTTAAAACTATTCTGAATTTCAAATGTTGACTTCCCGAATGCACCAACTAGATTTACGTTACTACCAGAAAAGTTGCTGTTAAAGAAAATTGAAGCACTTTTTTATTGCTCAAACCGTGATGACAGACACAAAATATTCAAAAATAAAAAAACATACATCATTCTCCGCACAGAACCAAAACATACAAACTGCACACATTTACAATATAGCACTTTAAAATTGTATGTCCTAGATTTTTATGGGGGGGGGGGGCTACGGCTAAGTTTAGGGTCTAATCCCCCCAAGCCCCCGTCAATTTGTGCCTATGATATACACACCCACATGGCCACACACCCACCGCGCACTAACACTCTTTAGTCTTGCTCGGCGACCCCGTTCACTTCTTTAGGATCGCTATACATAATGCTCGCACAAATAGGTCGGTCGGTGTAGTGTAGTGGCGTACCTACGGAGTATTAGGTAACCGGCACTCGCGTATTATTATTATACTCAGCCGGCCGGTACACTGTATTACTGTGTGTCTGTGTTACTACGTTACTACGTTATATTAGTTATATTATAATATATCCTAGTGTAGTCATGTCCAGTCATCTATGTCTTAGCACAGAATAAATGGCATCTATTCAGTGATCTTAGTAACTATTAGTTCGTGTCTAAAACCGTGGTTATTTCTATTTCACTCAATTTCGTCCCCGGTTAGGGTGAGGAGAGCCTGGAGAGGTGGTGTCGACTGGTCTGGTAGTCGCTGTCCATTAGTTAATAACATGAACTAAAAATATATCTACTTTAGTATATGATTTATAATTCTATGAAAATAACAAGTCTTATCAATCTACACATGTATTTCCATAGACACACAATTTATATTCTAAGACAGTGATATTTTTACGCATAGCGTAATAAGAATATTTTAAGGACCTATTGAATTTTTCAGGAAAAAAAACAGTCCAAATGTAGATAGGTTGGTCGAATGTTTAGCTACAGAAAATAATATTACAGAATTCAAAACAGTCCTAGTATAAAAATCCAGAAAATATTTAAATACAAAATAAAATGAACGAAAATAATTAGGTACTAAACAATGTAAGCTGATAAAAATCTGTATCAGTAGAACTTAAAACTCCAGAAAATAATATTTACTGCAGAAATTCCACTGAGTATATAATTTCAGAGTGTTTTATAATAGAACAAAATTGTATAGAACGTAACAAAAAATGTTTGCATCAAATATTTTACCTGAAAACTATATAGGGTTTATAATAATGTATGTTTCCAGAAGCATATTAAAATGCCTTAATTGCTAAATAAAATGAGTGGTAACAAAATATGACTTACCTGCTAATAGTAAGTAATTAGTACACATAATATATTAATAAATAATAATGATAATTATCGATTGCAGAAAAAATTAAAAAACAAGTAATGGATAAAATCCACGTTAAAGTAAAATAAGGAAATTATTCTTAGTACAGTAGGTTATATTTCATGTTTATTTATATATCTACCTATGACCTATCTAACCTTTTTTTCATACCCGTCATAATCATATTTATCATAACTCATAAACATTATAATTTAATATTTATTATTTTGTGTTAAATGATAATTACTCGTATTATCATAATATTTTACATTTTTTGAAAGTCACTAATAAATAATAATAGTACATGTTCTAAATTCTAATTAACATTAAATCATAATAATATTGTCAATTGCACAATAATTGCAAGATACACTGGTCATTTTAAAAAAAAAAGGAATAACAGACAATAGTTAAATTCATACTCGTTGTTTTAAAAACCGAACATATTAAAAATAAAAAGTGAAAACATACATTTTTAAAAACAGCTAAGCTGTAGTATTTAAGTGTCTTGCATAGGTGAAGTGTACTTATCATCTTAGGGTGCCTATAATAATTTTATTACTCTTGTGTAATAATTACTAAGGTAGATCGTAGATACTAAGATACCTATGGATTATAAGTTATGACGTATTATTATTTAAAATTTTTTAATAATTATCTGCCGATAATATTATATGTATTTTATTATTAATATTAATTAATATATTTATTATTATCTTATTTATTATATTATTTATTTATTTTACTACAGTATTTTTCTTTTATTTTAATCTAAACTTAGTTATTTATAACTTAGATTAAATATACTAGTATTAGTATATTCTAGTAATTATTATATCTACCCAATAATGGCCACTGGTTTATTTAATCTATGGTTTTAACAACTATAAGACTAGTTTATATTCATTTTGGTGTTCAATTAGTTTAAAATAAGTTATAACAATTATTTATTATTCTTCAACTAAATCGGCAGTCTTTATTAAAATCTTTATTTTTATTTCCTCGAAATCGTATGTAAATACGTTTAGATGCAAATAGTGCAATATTAACGTATTATTGTCATCAATATAACAAATATGACCTTAAAATTGTAAATATGATCTAAAAACTTTTACATTTTAAAATATGCTCTAAAAGAATTGATATTTTCACACTTTTATGAAACACATGTTGTGCTTATTTAGCATACAGTATATGTTCAAAAAATGAGTGATGGGCAAAATTATCTTGGTCTTGCAGTTATGGTCTTGGTCTTGCTGCAAAATATGCATCTGCATGAGCCCTAATAATAACTTACCTATGGCCTATGGGCTACAAAAACAAATTTTCGATATAACATAATAATATCATACCGATATGACTCAATAACTAGTCTATTATAGAATTAAAACAAAATTAAGTACTGTGAAATGTCAATTTGTAATTATTATACAATATACGCGTGTACCGCAGTCGCGGCATACAACTCGACGCAAGTGGGCCTCAGAACACCGATTGAGAACCACTGTCCTATCTCATGAAAGCAATATTCTATACGAATGAACCTTAGCAGGGAAAAATGTTTTGTATCCGTATATAATATAGCCTATATTTAGCCCCCTTTTTGCAGCTCTCAAAATGTGATAACTAGGGCTCGGATGTTTATGCACTTAAAACTACTGTAATATGCTGCATGCATTTATGCACTAAAAAATTACGAAATATGCTGACAAAATATGAGCTAAAAATTATAAAATATGCATTTTTAGTCAATAAAAACACCAAAATATGCACAAAAAAATGTATTACAATTCATAAAACAAAAATATTATATTTTTATTACCCAGTAGTTATTTTTATATATTATTTTTTTTACTACAATTTAAAATACATTTTTCAAATGAACATAGTGTTTTATTTACTTCAATTTATATTATTATTTATTATTTATTATATTATTAGCGTTACACTGTGCTACTATGTTTTTTTCTAATTTGCTCAAATTTGTAACTGCGTCTGTTATCGGTAAGTAAGTTTTTGTAGCGTGAAAAACTTCGTTCTACACCAACTGAAGTTATTGGTGCATATTTGAAAAATGCAAGATCTTCAACCTTCAAATTTTCTTCTATTCCTTCCATAGTCAACTATATATATACCTATATCAACTTCACCGGAATTTATTTTTGAAATTTGTACCAAAGTTTTAAATCCTTTATTTTTGCCATTACGTTCTGAAATTTGTCGTTAATTTCTTTTTCTACTTTTCCGTTAGCCATTTTGAGGGTTTCTCTTGTAGTATTGACAACTTCAATTGATTTGAACAAAGTCAGTCCTGATGAATCTAATTTAGTTATGTTGACTGGTAACATTTTGTAGTTCGCTAATTAAAATTTTTTTTTTTTAAATGTAATAATAAAGCATTTTTGTTTTTAAAATCCCAAAATATGCAACTAAAATACAAAACCATTAAATGTGCAAAATAAAAATAGTATTATTTGATTCAGTAGAACATGAATAAAATTTGTATCCAGATTGGACAATAGAAAAAAATAAGCAATTTCATAAACATCCGAGCCCTAGTGATAACATTGATAAAACGATAACATCATTTTCATTATAAAATATATATTATAATATTTTATTTTATTAAAACAGTTAAGCGAAAATATAATACAAATGTTATAATTAGGTTAAATATTATATTTTGTATTTTTGTTATGAAAACGTACCCAGCTGTTTAAAGTTTGAACCATGGGTCTCATAAACACATATTTAGTTATTTCTAAATACAAAAATCATCTTTTCCTATATTTGTTGCAAAATCATCTTGCCCAGTGTTTAAAATACAAAACTAGATTATTAATACATTTTAATAACTATTAGGCCCATACTAAAAAAACTCATAGCATAAATGTTTCAATGCTGTTCCTTTCACAGAATCTTGAACAACATTTAACACCTTTTTAATAAGAACCAGTATAGATGGTAGGTACTATAGTATTAAAAATAAAAAATGTAGCTACTTGCAATTAATTGATTTTCCTTCTCGTTTAATAAAGATTAAAATATGGAAAAATATGAGAGTAATAAAATGTTATCACTTTTATTACTTTTGGTTTTATACTTTTCTACTATTCTATGTAAACCCAGCAGATAGTCCTATTTATACTATTAATTTTATAGTATATCCAGTGTCTAACATTTGATCTTGATTATTTTATAATTTAATTTTATCTGTAATAATCGGCAAAATAATTTCATTCTGTTCCTCCAGTCTGTTGTTAGTAGTTACTACACACATTTTCTACTTTTTTTTCTTAACTCTATCTCATTTCAAAGCTGTGTTTAATTATGTCCTAGTGTATCACTTGTGGGTTAAAATATAATTCAAGATCAGGTTTTTATAAACATATGAGAACTAAACACGAAAAAGAAAAATATATATATATTTGTGATAAGTGTAGTAGGTACATCATTTTCAAAAAAAAAATTGATCTCATAAAACATTTAAGACATGAAATGCAAATTGACACCTTGAAGAATAAACTTAATTGCACTTTCGAAGAACTCAATAAAACGTTTAGTTCGTTTAAGACTTATCAGCTTCTATTTACGCTTAACTATTTTAATAAATTATAATATTATAAATTATAATGAAAATTATGTTATCGTTTTATTAATGTTATCACATTTTGATAGCTGCAAAAAAGGGGCTAAATATAGGCAATACTATATACAGATACAAAACATTTTTTCCTGCGATTATCCATATTCCATATCGTCGTTCGTCAGTCAAACTCAAGATAGGTCCAAATGAAGGCTACTTTGGAGCTAGACGCCTAGACGAGGCGTATAAAACGCTTTTAGAGTTTTAGCTAAAAAATCTCTAATATATTCAAGACCATTAGAAATAAATGCGAAAACACTAAACACTGTAATATTGTCAACATTTATTTTTCATACATTTTTAAATTTTTTGAGAACAAAATCACTAAGCAATGCAGAATATTTTAACTATATAAAAATAGAAGAAGGAATCAATTCTAGAAATAATTAGTCACGACCGCAACTAGTATGAAATTCTCAAACAGAGAATAACCTCTGGCTCGATACGTTTCAACTTTGTTAAAGTGTTATTATTATTTCAAATATAGGTATTCAATATACTTTGAACCAGTTTACTTATTTTATCAAAGACCACACTTCAACATCAATATCTAGACAAAAAACAAGACGTTATACTTAAATAATTAAGTGTATAAGTGTAGTACTAGAGGACATAAATTAATATTGGATGTTTATTTTTGTGTAATTTAATTTAAATGTAATAATAATCATAGCACTCTATACGCTGCCTTTATAATATACATCACAATACAACTTAAATAATACTTGAATAATAAAAAATTGTTTAATGAATATATAATATTTATACACTTAAGAATTTAAAATAAGTTAAAGAAAAAATAAATACTATTCAAAAACCACTGATGATATGTTTGTCTTTATACCAATTGAATTGATATATTTTTTTTTTATAGATATTTAAAATATTTTAATGATGTGAAAGTATACAAATCTATAGATGGCCTTAATTTGATTTAAAATAACAAAATGTCAATGAGTTCATATTGTTAAGGCACTAATGTTAACTTCCTAATAAGTAATAACTAATATAAATAACTCATTACATAGATTATAGAGCATGAATTATAATACAAATACAAATCTAAATTCAAAAAAAGATTTTTTGGATATTTTTTTTAAATATTTTAATTTGAAAAAAATTGTATTACATTCCGATAAAAAAATATATTAGACATACATTTTCATTTAAATAAATATAGGTATATAAGTATATAATAATAGATTTATTAATATATTTTTTTATAAGAGTTAAAAATAATAGCTTTTATAGACCATAGCTGGTTTATTTAATTTAAATATTATTATTACTGCTGAGGGCTGTGGCTGTATACATTAATGTTATGATTTGAATAGTTAAACGAAACAAACAAATGATTTTTAACAAGCTAGAAAAATCCTTTAACAAAAGACATTGCTTTCAGTTACCTACTATTTTTTAGCCACGCATACTGCTTGTCCTGGCAGATGTAATAGGCAGGTACAATATTATTGTTACCCATATTTACGGATAAAATAACACACCAACTGATGGCCGAATTTGTTAGTTCTTTTAAATGTCACTATTCACTTTAACCAATGTCTTCTGTATTTTAAATTATTAACAATTTATATTTAGGTTTCATTATCAAAAATTAAATTAAATTAAACCAGTAGGTAGTTAAGACTTATCTTACACTAAAGACAATTGGCTAATATATCTTTTAATAATACATAATGTAATATAATGAATACATAATAAATAGGTAATTACCTTATTATTATAAAAAAACATAAAATACTACATAATATAAATTAATAGTGCACTTATCTCAATAATAGATATTATAATTCATTTTTAACTCATTAGACACTTTATATTCCATATTAATATGATTGCGAATTAGTAATTATTATAATTGATAACTTTCATATTATAATATCTAAATATTGAAATATTAATAAGTGAATTTTTAAAAATTATTTTGAACTGATTAAGCTTTTATTCTTAATATTTTTAATAGTCTTACAATTTTCCACATATATGGTATGGAAATCCTTACAGTAACTATAAGCTTACACACATAATAAAATATTTTTAACTGGATCTATACATATTTTGTTCATAAAAAAATAAATAGTTGGAAATAAAATATTATATCTAAATAATTGCTGTATAAATATTATGAGTAATGTGTAAGTACATTGAACAATTAATTCTCCTATATTATTTTATATTTATGAACAATAAATTGCAATAAGCACCCAACTTTATAACGTCTTTCAGTAGTTACTTCTTTTGGTTATTAAATTTTAAATATATATCATAAAATATATTTTGATAAATCTTCAATATGGACAGAGCTAATATCACACCATTACTATAAGACACATAATTATACTAACATTTAAAATTACTCTTACATAATATATTATGATTAAAATCCTCTTATCCACTTTTTAGAGACATTAAGTCAAAAAGCAACCATAATATGTGATATTCATGTTAGGTAGGTAGAAAGTTAAATAAAGGGATTTTCTAAAAAATAATCTGACATTTGATTTACCTCATTAATTACATGATCTCAATAGAAACTGTAAGATACAACAGTAGTTACAGTGTATATTTATTATTTTGGTACCTATGCAGGTAAGAAAAAAAAAAATTAAAGAAATGTAAAAAAAGAAGTTAAAAACGCATTATGCGTGTAATTAACAATGTGAAATAGTTTCACATTAAATTTATTTAAGTAGAATTAGTCAGAAGTAACTCAAATTTTCTTTTATTCACTTTTATATCAAACTATTGATAGTATGTTGTGTTTCTTAATATAAATGCAATGATCTTTAAAGTGTACCCAATTAATGTGCGATTGAAACAGTATAAATGTATAATATACAAATATAAATAAAATGGCATGGCATTAAAACACAATAAGACTTAGAACAATAAAATAATATTAATAACTGATAAATAGATGTGTATTTACTTTACTTTTAAATCAAATGTGTAAGTGATAAATAATTATAGATATTGACAGAGACATATTCAAGAGGGGACGTGGGGATCAGATAGCAAGTTGTACAAATAATCTTTTTTAGAAAAAGCCTATATAATACTTTTATTCATATTCATAAAAGAAATCTAGTTATATTGAGATGACTTTAGAATTATAATACATAATCATGAAGACATAAAGAACAATTAAGTTAGTGAAATATGTAAATCAGATTAGAATATTGTGAAAAAAATCTTATGATAATTTCAATCACATGAATCATGGATGTATTAAATATGTTTACCCACGCAGTGTTGGATAAATTATTTTTGAAAAGTATTTAAATTACGTTACTTGTTACATTAAATCATTTTATTTTAACATTTATTTTAAGGCAAGGTTTTTTATAAGTTCTTACTACTGACCCCCTCCTCCCTTTTACAAAACTTTAAAATCATCATAATGTCCATTGCTTAAATAATAATAAAAATAAAATTATGAAGTGCCTGAATTTAGTGACGAGCAGAAGGGTTATGCATCGTATCTGTATAATAGGTCTCGGAAGTAGCAAAATCAGGCATTGTGGCAGGAAGGTTTACATGTCTATTTTCAACTGCATCAAAATTCATTCTGAACATTTCTACTACGTTGAAAAGCATTGAGTCTGGACTGGCATTAGTGGATTGTTCCACCTCAAACTGCGGTGGTGGTATGGGAACCTCTGCCTGCCGGTCCATATACATGAATCCAGAAAGAGCACTACTAGTTGCTCTACGGTTAGCTCGTCGAGGTCTTTTGTCTGAAATATAAATATAATTAATTTAGTTATTATTGATGCTGATTAGATAAGGTTGGCATCCCTAGATATTTACTTCTCTTCTTGCTACGCTCTTTTATTGCTGCTTCACGCTTGTTTTTAATTTCTATCGGTAAATGTTCAACAATCTTCTCTATGAAGCTTTCCAAAGTTAAACAATACGATTTTGTTTTAACTTCCACACGACAAATTGGACAATTTTTGACACGGAGCGTCCAGACATGAATGCACGATTCACAAAATGTGTGTGAACAGTTAACCACTGTCGGCTGAAAAAAAAAAATTTATTGATATAAGGAGAGTTTTGACTTTTTAAGATGAGTAGTATAATTTTGTTATATTGACATACCTCTGTATTGTAAATAAAAACTATTTCCTAACTTCTACTGCAGCTGGCAAACAGGATACATAACATTTATACACATTTTTTAAATATAAAATTTAAAGTATAAAATCCAAATACCCAAAATACTTCTTTTTATTTAAAAGTAAGTACATAACTGATATACTTTCATATTTACTGTTTTTCATTTTCAGTTTCATAATAATAAAAAAGGTGGGAAAGTGGGTATGTTGTACATTAGGTGTAGTGTGGGTCACTGAAATGGATGTGTTATATTTAAATATTGAACTATGTTAGATCAATTGCATATGAAAAACGATTCAGATTGAAGACAGTCTGTCAATCTACATTACTAAGTATATTTTATAATAGTATTGCTCTTAAGTTAATTTATTTATAAATGGTTGCTATTGGTTACAGGAGAAATATTTAGTAGGAATAATTATTATATCTTTCTGGCTGTCATTAGTTATTCAGACAAATGAGGTAAATGCATGCATAAAATCGCCATGTTTATGGTTTCGAATAAAATATACAACATTTCAATTTCGACCGACACTAACTAGATTCACTTTCCTACCTACCAGCAAAGTTACTGAAGTTGAAAATATTTATATTATACTAGCTGAAAAAGTAAATTCAACTATCATATTTGTAAGATGTAATTTCTTTATTCGAAACCATAAACGTGACAATTTGATGGATGCTTTTACCTCATCTGCCTAAATTACTAATGACAACCATGACAAAAAAAAAAAAAAATACTAATTTCTAATAATTATTTCCCCGGTAACCAATAGCAACCATTTATAGACAACAATTTCCTTTGTTAATCTCAAAATCCCTGTTTGGCTACCTCTCCGAGTTGGGGGTACTGGGCCCAATTGTCACTCAAGCACACGAAAAATGTCATTAAAATTGGTCCAGCTATTGAGGAAAAGTTCCGTTACATACACATGGACAGAATAAATATAAATATAAAGATTATAATATATTAATAAACATAACATATTATTACCTTTTATTATATACACTGTTCAGTTTTCAACAATAATAATAATACTTCAATAATACTGTTGAATACTGATACAGTGATATCTATGACCTATCCCTTTATAGCTACACTAACTTCTTAGATGTTTACATCATAAAAATTAAAAAAACTTATTAAATAATTGATAATTATATTTTGGTACCTTAATAAAGATTTCAAAACAGATATTGCACAGTAAATTACTGTCAACAGCAGACAGTATAATATTGTTCCACTCAGCACCAGTTTTTTCAGTATTTTCTTTCATCTTTTTTTGATCAAGTACATGTAAATTATTCGCATTCTCTTCTACGCTAATGCCCTTTTCTGTTTCCTTTGCCACAGAAAGTTCTTTTACCGCATTTTCTATTGCTACTTTAGCATTGTCAGGTTGTCTTAATATTGGTCTAACATAAATACAATTTTATTAAAATTTAAAAAAACACCAATAAATAAATTAGTTAAAAATAAAAGAGCATACTTCATGGCTCTTTCGCTTTCGATTTGACGTTGGTAACCTTCAAATTCAGCCGTTAGTGCACTTATACCATTTTGAAATATTCCAGAGCCCGTAAGTGGAAAAGGTGATGCTGATAAATGTGCTAAAGGGGAAAGAATTAAAAATTAGTTAATATTTGTTTCTAAATAATTTTTCTAAAATCCAAAATCTATTCAATAAACATAATATTAGAATTAAAAAAATAATAATCTCATATTGTTTTTTAGATTTCTTTATGTATTCCTAGCAATTACTAAGCTACTAATATTTGCGTTTGTATATGAATGTAATTACTGATATTATTTTCAAAATATGTTGATATTTGTTATATTTTCAATATTAGTTGTTTTACAAAATATTGTTTACAAGATATTAATAAAATTTAATACAACTTTTATATTCTAAGATTTTTTTTTAAAAATATATTAACATACAATAGTTTTATTTGTTTGCTAACTGTCACTTTACAATTTTCACATAGGCCTAATATTTTTTTCAAATTTCTGCCATGTTTAATATGTAACAATATTAATCCTCCTCCAATCTATATATTATTACAATATTAGGTAGGTTATAAATTATAATCATATTATAATGATGCTTTTTGCCTTTAAATGTTCTTCTGAATTATTAGCGAAATGCATTGCACCGAATGTATTAAGAAATTGATTGTAAATTTCTAGAACTACTAACTGACCTATATTCACACTCATTGACGTATATATGTTACGGGCAAAGTGGAAAATTCGGACAATGTATATAATGTCTGAGGGATATTGGGCAATGTAAATTGTGAAGTATTTATACAAATAATCTGCATAATATATTATGTTTTTATTGTAAATTATTTATATTACATTATTATACATAATTCATCAATATAACATAATATATAATATATTAATATTGTTTTTATTTTTTTTACAATAAATTACTATACTATTTATACTAATTAATTAAAATTAAAATTAAATTAAATTAAATTATTTATTTTATTTAAATAAATAAATATTTATTTAAGCACTGCACAATATAAACTGAGTGACAGTATACTACAACTAAAGTAAAACTGTACGTACCAAAATTATATGCGATAAGATATTTATCGGTTTCGTTATTGGAATATATAGTGCATTCACAAAATGTCATTAGTGTTTAACCAAAGGATAGACGTAACATATAACTATTTATACTTTATAAAAAAAAAAAAAAATATTAATATATTATATATTACTATGTCACTCAGTTTATATTGTGCAGTGCTTAAATAAACATTTATTTATTTAAATAAAATAAATAATTTAATTTAATTTAATTTTAATTTTAATTAATTAGTATAAATAGTATAGTAGTTTATTGTAAAAAAATAATATTAATATATTATATTATGTTATATTGATGATTATTAATTATGTATAATAATGTAATATTAATAATTTGCAATAAAAACATAATATATTATGCAGATTATTTGTATATATACTTCACAATTTACATTGCCCAATATACTTCGGACATTGTATACATTGTCCGAATTTTCCACTTCGCCCGTAACATATACACACGTAAAGAGAGGGGCGGGGGGAAACCTTGGTTTTTTTCTATTTGTAATGTTTGCCACATATTGATATAAAATAAATTAATAATATAATATAATATACTTACTTTCTATATTCAAAAGCTCTCGACTCAAATAAGCTCCCAAGTCGTGAGAATTCCGACACTTGTTGCCGAACCGACATTTGCCAAGCACGTGATACTCACACAGCTGTGATGATGACATCATGAACGCGATCGATATAATATATTATTTAGACGATCTAGAATCTAATCGTTATAGTCCGGAGTCAAACTATGGAAGTCTTACAATCACCGGTCGGCTATACGAATATTGATGTTGCTATTAGTACTTTTTAGTATAAGATATATTATGACGGGGAGACGCGCGCAATATTTTGTTGTCAGACGAATCAATGAATGTTCCGAGCTCGGATGAGTGACGCCGATCCAGAGATGTTCCATTGTCCCAGTCTTTCTTGGTTTACCCTTTGACAGTGCTACCACCATTATTTAGTCCCTCCACCGTTAACACTCTGACCCTACACTACAGTGCCTCACTCATGACAAAGTATATAGGTTCTCTCTCTCGATTTGTGTACAGTGAAACCTCGGTATCTCGAAGACGCGAGGGACCAAAAAAAAAAAAATTCGACGTATCGAAACTTCGAGTTAGCTAGGGAATTTAAAACATAAATAAAATTTGAAATAAGAATGTTTAATTATTGAGAAAAATGTGTATTTATAATATAGAATGTATTTCACAGATATATAAAAATACTAGATAGACGACTCCCTATTCCTACAATGCAAAAATTATGAAGCCTACAAAATGGCCGAGATTCTCTTATCTAAGAGGTGAATGTTTACAAAATATCATATATCAGCACAGATATACATACATATTTGTGTATATCAGTGTTGTGAAAATGTAAGCATTTACCTCTTAGATAAGAGAATTTCGGCCATTTTGTGGGCTTCAAAATCATTTCCATGTCGGCTATCTAGTATTTTTATATATCTGTGATGTATTTATACATTGCATACATATTTTGTATTAGTATTCGTAATTTGGGTAAGTATACATTATTTTCTATGAAGGTAGAAAATCTGTCATTTTCGTTTTTGTTTTTGTTTAGTATTAGAAGTATTTTCAATAAAACTACCTAAAATGTTAAGTACCGAAAACATGTTGTCAGAAACTCCTGCCTATTGTTGGACGTATCTTCGAAGTTCATGTACATAGTTTTCAGCTAGCGGGCACCACGTATGAAAGGTTTAACGACAGCAATTTCTTCCTCGTCGATTGCTTCATCGGCAGAATCTGTCTCTGGCTCACTGAGAATATCAGATATTTTAAAAATGTCTGCATCGGTTAAACTTGCTGATGTGCTCGAAGTAGAATGGATATCCAAAAATTTTTGATATGAAATATTGATATCGAAGTGTTATGCTTATGATATCTGTCATATATTCGAGTTAGTAAATCATAATAGGCGGTGGGTACCAGATAATGACTTCGACTTATAGAAATATTCGACATATAGAAATTCGATGTACCCGTGATGATTTAGTATTACTAAATGTTCAGATCATAGGTAAACGAGAACCCTGTGATCAGTCGATCACGATGGAGGTTTTATACGATTATACACTTTTTTGGATCATTGATCGCTGTCTCGGAATTCGGGTTGGTACTTTGAAGCTTTCACTTATTTAATTGTTATGGTTCTATATCTGCTTATTGCAATAAAACTAGTTAATTCATATTATTGAAGAGCAATGATTAGAAAGTTAAAACACTTTCATTATAATTCCCTGACTACGCCACAATCGAAGTTCTAATATTACATTTTTTATTTTTTGTTGTCAATTTAATTGTTTTATTTTTTTGGAATTGATTGAATTTTTTTACCAATTCGGGCCAGTTAAATCATTTGCCCCCCTCTATTGAAAACTGAAATGACGCTTCTGATTGGATTGTAATTTTAAAGCCGAAATGTGCCCGCGTCCAGCGAATATGCAATTTTGAATTTGATATTTCAGGGGGTGTGACTACTACCAGGTCTTATCTGATTTTCACATGCGGGGAAAAAAATTTAGATTGTATTTCGATTCATGCGAGAAACGTATTGCGTACAAAACACCAGGGTCGGAATAGAAATTTCAATTCGCACTCAGTCACCCGCACTATAACTAGGACATTACTTTAAGCCCTTAAGCCGATCCAAGCTACTTTACCAATACTTGATTACAGTTTACAATTTTACTGATAATTGAAATGGTGTACAATACAATTGTAAATTATGCATGTTTTTTTGTTTACCTACTGGTTTTACAAGTCTATTATTTAAACAGTAGAATCTTCACTTTAGAATGTTGCGTACTACAGAAATTATTATACTGTGCAACTGTGCAAGGCGTTGTTAGGGTGGATGAAAGCCTAAAGGTTAGGCTGAATTAAGTAAATAAGTATGTGTAGGTATGTAAGTAATTTAAGTCAAGTTTACACTTCATAGCTACGTCGTGTGTAGTGTTATGTTGATAGAATAACATTCTAATTTTACGTAACTTTTTTGGTATCGTGTTTGATAATATCAAATTGCGATCGTGTATACCAAGAATTTACTACAGCTTAATTTTTAAATCAATATGGTTACAAGTTGTAATCATTGTTACCACTCCCACGCGTGACACGATAAAAGACGTATAAGGAGATTCGATCCAGTCTGTTTTCTACCAAAATAGACCTATTTTATGCCATATATATCGCCAATTCCAGCTAGTCATCGGATAAAACTTCTGAAAATATATTTAAATTCGTCATGAAGTTTTCTGGAAAATTACTTTTCCACTTTTATAATATTGAACTAACCCTTCAAAATTAGATTTTTAAATTTTGAGTATTAAGAATTTTAAAATGTTCAGGGGCGGATTGGGGCAACATTTTGGCCCGGGAAATCTACATTTTGACCTGGCCCTTGCCATTTCTCGTCATCACAAAAATGTAAAAACTTAAATATACCAACGTTTTATTCAATGAGGAATGCAGCCTTTACACATTTTCAATTTTCCCAGAAAACAACTTAAGATTTTTTTTTTCATTAATTGTTTATGGCATCAACTAAGAGGTTATTAGCCAGGGTTTTTGGGACTGTTGGGTTCGGAACTCGTGTGAAACTTAAGATTTGTTAAACTAAACTTACCAAATAGTTTCAATATGTAATTTTAATTTTGTTTAATATTAATGAAGTACTTCACAAATAAATAATATATTGGTAAAAGTCATTCAATCGTAACATAATACTATTTAATACCTTATGTAAAAATATAAAATATTATGACACTTATATTGTAGTATATTAACTTTTATTAGTTATAACTAGAGTTAGGATGTTGATGACTTTTGCATTTTTTTTCCTTTTATTCTGTACAATGCTATCCTAGCTAAAAATTTGTTTCATGCTCCCTTGATGCAGAATATTCTAATTTTATTTTGCATTATTTTGCATTTTTTGCATTTTCAGCTATAAATGCATTTTTTTTGTTTTTTAACGTCATTTTTCAACATTTTTAAGTCATTTTTTCATCTTTTAGAGCATTTTTTACAAATTATAGATTTTAGGGCAAATGTTACACCCAAGTTTGGAAACAAATTTAATTTATTTAAAATCTAACTTTGGATTTGGACTATTAGTAAAAAATAATTTTAATATTATTATTGTGGGGTTTTTGTTGTGATTACATTTATCGCGTTCCGATAAGATTTACTCTTTGAGTGTTATATATTGAATTATTTAAATGCTTAATATATTTATAATTCATATTTTAAATTACTATTACACCCATTATTATACCCATATCTCTAATAAAAATTATTATTTATAAATAAGTTTTTTCACTTACTTAATTAGTATTTTAGATAATTTTTAAGGTCATTTTTTGAAGTTTTCAGAGCATTTTTGCACTTTTTTTAGGGTTTTTTTGCATTTTTTTTTAGGGCATTTTTGTATATTTTTTAGGTCATCAACATCCTAACTCTAGTTATAACTAGATCTAACTCATTTTTCCTTTGTAAATAAATTATATTCATATATTGCATACCTATTATTTAAAAAAAATACTAGGGAAAAATAATAATTTTAGGTAATAGATAGGTATTTACATTTGGAATGCTTATTTGCGGTTGATTGCAAAGATTTTCTTGCATTACTAAAATAATATATTACTCAAATTATTGATCATACGCAAACTCCTGATGGAGTATAAGCCGAACCAAAACCTAAATCTATTTTTAAACACCAAATGTAAACAATTGTTCATACACGCGCGTAATGATAATATGAAAATATAAAATATTCATAATTTGAATTTATACCTATTGGCTATTTTATTTTAAGTAATAAGTAATGTAATAATAACAAATTATTTTTGAACAGCGGCCCACCGGGAAAGTTCCCGGTTTCCCGCCGGCCCAGTCCGCCCCTGAAAATGTTAATAATACTGAAGTTAAAAATTTAAGAAAGTGTGGTAAATTTATAACAAATTCAAATATTTTTTAGAAATTGTATCAGATTAATAGGTTAGTTAATATAATTATTGTCAAGATATTACAAGATATATATTACAGATATTATTTATGTACTTTTGATAAAAAGGAAAAGATAATAATTTAGCACATATTTACAAAACCCGCAATAGTACATACATAGAAAATTGCCTATATGTAACTCCTTAAAACAGTCGTTATCGTAAACCGTGGCTATGCTGATGGGCGGTGCAGAAAGTGCGCTCTGAGTGCACACTAGTGTTACACTGTAATCAAATCGAATACTCAACAGTCAACACTGCACCAGTTCACTGATTATTGGTCAAATCGAATACGTTTTTGTATCGAGTGCACACTGAGTGCAAAAAGTTCGTCAAATCGAAAACGCTAAAAGTTATATCATGGTTGGTACTAGCATTGATTAAATAAATTGTATTTAATCAATGGTACTAGGTATCTGATATCTATAGTATTCTGTGCTTGGGGGATTTTTGTTGTTCTGCATGCTATTGACGTTTTCATTATTGTCATATTTCAAACTTAAAATATTATTATTATTGTTATTATCGATACTTGATAATGTCATTATGTTGTCGCGGCAAGACGTGTAGTGTGTTACACAGGCGTAAATGCTTCAAGCGCACTCCCATCCCACCGCCACCTGCAAGTACAAATCGTACGAGCCCGACGACGGCGACGACGATGACAACGCTCACGACTTACGCGGGCCAGAAAGTTTTTTTCGCGTCCTACGTTGAATGTCACCGCCCGACGACGCTTCAGATACGTGAACCTGCCTACGAACGTGAATACGGCCTACCGACGGAGACGCCCGCACGCGTCTGCGCTCCGCCGTTTTCATTGGTGCTTAACGTGCTTCGAGACGCGATCATGAGCTAGCGTTCGACATCCCGACGCCGCGGCAACCGTCGCTTACGGCCCACTGACCGGGGCCCCGGAACAGCAGGCTGCCACCGCCGCCTAGTGTCGGCCGTCCAACAACAGGTCCTCGAACGGCTCTCGCCGTCATCCTCCGCCGCTGCCACCGACTACGAAAGTAGTCGCAGACCGCAGTAGCCTCCGCTCAGTCAGTCATCACTTCATTCATCTCACGCACACGCTGCGCGTCCGTCGTCGTTCCGTCGAGCTCAATCGCCGTTACAGTATCAGTCTCTCAAGTCTCGGCAGCTTCGTGATATGGATATACCGGTCAACGACTTGAGCCAGGCCAATGAATTAGGGTGGCGCGTGCTTGCCGCTGAGACGATTTTCAAATCGCACGGCTCAGACAAGGTGAGTGATAAACAACCGCCAGAACGACATTCCGTTCCGAAGCCGTTTTCCTTGCTCGTTCACGGTGATTCGCTGTTCTGTTGCTCAGCTTGTTGCTGGTCCAAGGCCTTTTCTGGTTCATCAGAAAGGCGGTAACTAACTGTTGGTTCATTTGGTTCTGTTGGTTTTATATTGTTTCCCTACACACAGGGGTGGCCCCCGTTCGTTCAACTAATCGGTTAGTTTGATAGATTACAACTTTCCACTGCTGTATCTGTAATAGACAGAATTTATAAAACAAGCTGCATTGTTTTTTGCTTACAGTTGTAGTTTATTTCTTATAAAATCACTTCATAACAATTTACACTCCAGCAAATAAAATTTAAGCTATTAATTATAATTTGCACATTTTCATGTAAATACTTACTACTGCATTTGTATATTAAATAATCAATTATAATTCATTTTTATAGAATGGAGCACCGAGCACGATCCAATTTGAGGTACCTGTCAACATCTGTGAAATCTATGTTCTTTCACCATCTATGTATTTGCGCACTTCAACCGGTGGCTTCCTTCTTGGGTAAGCAATGTATACTTAATATTGACAATTACTGGTTGAGTGGTTGATTACTTATGTGTACCGTATGCTAAAACCCATAAGTATAGTTTTACAGCTAAAATATGACCTACTATTATTTTCTTTTTGAATTTCAGGGGAACTGAACCCAAAAAATTTCCAATTACATTTCATTGTAACAATGTGGATGAGGACTCTGCTTCAGCAAATGTGAAATTGGGTGAACTCAACTATGAAGAAAAAGCATCTATATCAATGAAGTTTAGCAATGAGGTAATTAAGGTATAAAACTAACTTTCAACTTTTTTTAAAATTAAACTGCTCTTGTAGATATGGACAAACAGATTGATTGTGTTTGCAAAATATTCAACGTTAACCATTGTTGTTTATGGAACATCGAGGGATCCTAATGCTAAGGTACAAAAGAAAACATTATCAACTCTTCCACCACTTGGTCCTAAGTATATGAATGGCATATATTCTTTTGTTCTAAACTGAAGAATTAGCTAGCATTCAAGTGGATCCAAATTATACAATTTATAAAACACTTAACTCACTTGTTCATTCCTTCTTAATTTCAATACCATTACTGATTATATATATATTTTTTTCACTGAATTATAAATTAATATTAGCGCAGAGAAGTTATAACAATCGGGTGATTTTTTGGTGACTACAGCTTAATATACTTGATAACTATTACAAAATTTAGTTTTATATACTTTCATAATTTTCCATAAAAAGTATATTTTTATGTATATTTTTTTGTTACCACTAAATCAGATACTTCAAATGAATAGCTTTTTTTTGTATATTTTCATAAATCTTGATATTTTAATGGGTTTTGATGTAATTCATTATTTTAACTATTTAGTGTTAACTATTAACTTTTTGGAATCTGAAATGTTTAAATTCTTATTATTTATGTAATTGCCCAAGTATGGACTTTTTATTTGATTAATAATTATATATATTATGTTACGGGATTATTGATTTGTTAGTAAGCTAACATACAAATAATATATTTTATTTACACAAATTTAAAAAAGTTTTATATGTATTAACAAAGTTAAAATATTACATTATTTATTAAAATTACTTTTATAATTAAGTTATTGTTATACAAAACAATTTTTTTAGTTATGATAATAAGATCTAGAACTTAATAATACGACCTAATTCATGTTTAATAAAATATCTTTATAAATGCAGAATATTGACTTTAATTGGAAAAATGCTTTTAAATTATTATTATTTTAATAAACTTCAAATTAATTTATTCTATAAATAGTTTAAATGTTGAATGTCAACCTAAATGTTAAAACATAACTAAATGTTTCTCTACCATATTTTTCTTTCTCATTTGCAATTTCTTATTTACTTGTATATGATTAATTTTACTCAAATAATGTTGACTATCTAAAATCAAAGACAATTAATTGCAACATAATGTATTCAAATGTATTAAAATGTCTGAACATTGCTAAAAATAAAACTATATTTTTTTCTAAAATGTTGTACAGTTATTTATACATTTTCATTTACAATTATACATTTACCTAACCATTCTTCACAATATTTAGTGTAGGTGATTTAGGCATATCACAAATTACACATTGTCATACACACAACATTTATAAATGGTTGTAACTTATAATGTATTTAAAGCTGAAATCTAGAAGCGGTTATAACAAATTAATATACAATTGGTAATTATTATTTTTAAACTCATTTTAAAATATTAATGTAATCAAACTTTAATTATTTTTTAAAGAACCTGATTTTCTAGTAAATCATTATTTATTTAATTTTTAATATTCTCTGTTAAGATTATCTGAGTGCTTTATTTTAGAATATTTAAAAAATAATGTCTGATACTTTTTTTCAATACATTATACATATTGTTGGAGATGACTTAATGTAATTACAACTGATTCATTTTTCTATCATTTGTAGTTAAAAAATGATTTAATGTTTTTCAAAACTAATTGTTTGAATTTTCGCTCAAATAAAATTATTAAAATCATAATATAACAAGATATACATGGTCTATAAATCTACACTCTTGACAAAATATATTTATACCTCATTACTTAAGAAAAACACTTAACCCAAATACTTTTTAGTCCCAAGTGTCTTAGTTATGTTTGGCATTATAAATGAAAACCTTTTTTTCGATTTTGTGGAGTATAGTGTTATATAATCTGTAATAAAAGTTGCTATAATCCTTACATGAGCATAGAAAAAACAGTATACATATTATGGAAGATTAAGGAGACTAACTATTCTGCAGTAACACTCAGATGCTAATTCATATATTATATTGTATTTCTTATTATTTTATTTGAATTATCAGTTTATCTAAGCTAAATTCGGATTTCCAGGAATGTGTACTGAGTAGACGCTACACAACAATTTGTTGTCTTTGTCTTACAAGTGCGTAACATAGGACATTTACGCTCAATAGATCACATTTAGCGCCGTTAGTTTAATAATTAGAGTGAATCGACCTATTATGAAACTTGATGGTAAGAACATCATCCGTGTTCATATGCGGTTTTTTTTTTTTAAAATTCAATTTTTTTAGCAAGTTACAGGGTATATTATACAGGGTAAATTAAAAATACTCATAACCCACTTAAAAATTGAACCATCGCAAAAAACCCACTTATAAACACAGATTCATGAGAGGTCGATTCACTCTAATTTTTAAACTAATGAAGCTATACGTGATCTGCTGAGCGAGCTCACTTTTCAAAAGGATGGGCTAGTGTGTATCGCTCTGCTATGTTTCACTGATATATTATTGTATTTGTATTTTGTATATTATACGAAAAATGGTTCTGAGCGAAGACGGCCAGTCGACTACCACCGACATTTTTCGCATTAAACATAGCATTTTAAAATGAAATTATTTGTATAAAATATAACAATATATAATAAACTTTAAAAGTATTTAACAATAATATATTTAAATTATAGAAAACAATAACTTAAGTCATTATTCTCCATTTCAATGTCTTTTTACGTACACATTTTCAAATAAAATATCTATTCAAAAAAACTATGTTACCATTTATTTTTTAAACTCATAGTATAAACTGCTAACCCTTGTTTTTAAAGTTTAAATCCTAAGCTTCAAAAATTAAGCAATTTATAATTTTTTAACAACAAAATAATTTGTAAATTATCGGGATTTTAAATAAAACATATTTTAAAATAATAAATATTTAATTAACAAATAAAAATGTATATGTATTTTAATAAAATTCTTATGTATTTTTGATATTTTTTAACCTGCTATTACAATAATTTATGAGGAACCTTGAATTATATTTCAAAGCTTTTTGACAGAGTGAAAATGTTTCTATCGATATTATAAAACTGCACATATAATCAACAACTATATTATATTGTAAATTATAATGTCTATAATATGATTTAGAATTTTAGATGATATTTTACAAGGGCAATTTGTTTTTTGTCTACATTTTTTAGATCTCGCAAATTCTTGCATTTAAGACTGGTATTTGTTGTCTCTGCCTCACAAGAGCATAACATATAAAAGTGCGTTATATAACGCGAGTATATAAAGTGCGAAACTTAGTATATTGTATATTATATTATATTTTATACATATAATCTCATTTAAAAATGTCATGTTTAATTTCAAAAATTTCGGTGGCAGTCGACTGACGTCTTCGCTCAGAATTGTTTTTCGTATATACAAATACAATAATATATATCAGTGAAACGTAGTAGAGCGATACACACTTGCCACCATTTTGATTACGTCTTTACTTTTTTTTTGACAAACATGGACATTATTTATATTTTGATAGTTCCCCGAAAACTTCCACAATGTCTAAAGTGGCCTTCCAAAATTATTTATTGGTTATCGCTGGTATTGCTGTAGATATGATTATAATTATTATGATGAAGAAAAAAGTTCATTCTTCAAGATTTTATTTTAAGTTTTTCTAAATACCGACTTATATCCATCATTATATATTTTGTATTCATATGTATATTATTTATCATGTTTTTTTAAAAATATTCTTATTTCAAAACTTATATTCAACTATGAACGTGGCATACATATTTTTATTTTTCGCATATTTTAAGTGCATATACAATGTACACGGTGAGTGCATTTCCCGGATACTATGAAATAGATGATATAGCGCTACCTACGTAGCTATGTTTATAGTTATGCTATGTCACGACAAGCCCAATGTTTTTGTTTTTGTTTTGTACTAGGTATTAAAATTTATTAAGCTCCCATGGTTTTAAGTATAAAATACGGTATTTTTAAGTAATCAGTGCCCAAAAGGTGTTTTCTCCTATACCTATTTAATATGTTTTTTTGAACAAAATATATACCGAATTACCAGTGATGTTCTCTTATAACCTACGTTGCCGCGGCCTTGTTGTCGGCTACGCGTGTCCAACGAAATGAAAAACTCGTTTTGACAGTTTGATTTAGGTATATCATATTGGTAGGCGCGGTGCAGTTGCGACGTATTTAAGAAACATGCACCGTGGGAAAATTCTTAAACTAAGATACCGTGTAGATATAGGATTTGTTTCGTTTGATATATTATTACTATTATTATTATCACATTATATAGGTATATATTTTATATTATACCAGCCGTAGACGCTGATAGGTAGACAGGTAGGATACCTGACGACTGGACTCCAGGTTCAATTTGAGAAACAAAAATAATAAGACCTTGTTTGAAAACTTACATGTTATAGGTATTATACCATCCATTAGTGCGGTACTCCCTCACCAAAACACGAATTAGAAGGTTAGATAGTTAAGTAATTATTATAATATATCTACACATATAATATAGACATTTAAGCGTATACATTACACGGCGGTGAAGTTTTTTATACATTTATATCTATTGAGCGCAGAGAGCTTATTTGCATCCGATAACACTTGGTAATAATTTAAACTAAATAAACATTTTTTGACGGCGACAAAAAAGTAAATCAAACACATTTTTGTATCTTTAGTGTTCAGTAGGTAATGTGAATACTGTTTCGAATAATATTTACATACTTACTGAATCACCTAATATACCTATAACCTACCTGCATTAATATATGTAGTATTATACTTTCGGCCATTAGTTAATAAGTAGAAATAAATACACAAATTATTGGTAATATTAAGCACATCAAATCCAAGAATTTAAATAATGCATTTGTGTAGACGCATTAAATTGTAACTAGTATTCAGCTAAAGTGTAAAACCAGAAATAAAAGACAAGCAAATACCAAATAGAATCGAATTAACCGCCATGAGACAAAGTGTCTAAAATCCGTGTCCTACCCACGTCGCTATAACCTTGTACTGCTTAATATAATTTTTTGAATAAAAATAAAAAAAACAAATAAATAATTTTTGATTAAATAATTTAGTTGACATAAAATATGTTACGTATATGCAATTGCCTAAGCCAGTGTCCAATAATAAGAAATAGTAAGATTTATTTTTAATTAAATATTTAGTTTTATATTTATATATGTGACCACTGAAAAAATAGAAATTAAAATAAAATACCTAATTAACTCCTTTTAACTATCTGAAGGTTATGTTTTTCACTACAGTGAAACCTCTGAATAGCGGACACTCTCAGTCGCCGAAATTTTGTCCGCTATTTAGAGGAAAACATTTTTTTCAATAGATAAATAAATTCAATAATTTTATTTTATATTATTTTTACATTAATTAAATAGGTACACGATAAAAATAAAAACTAACATTTATTTTCTGAATAAAATCTGTTACTTTAGTTTATTTACTAATGCAGCCGTAATTATTTCGTGTGTTATGGCATTTTTTAATTTCACTTTGTTTGAGTACAATGGACTATTCTGTATCTCGATAGAAGAAATATATATACGTATGCCTTCTACTGCTAGCAATGCCAAAACGTTCGTATATTGGCATCATAAACACAACTAAACGCACATAGAACAATGCATTAGTTACAATATTTCGTTGACGCGATAAAGTGACTGAACGGAAAAAATAAGATTTTCATATACAGTTTAATAATGTACACATAAGATAATTTAATAATTGAGGTTTTTATTCTAGTATTCCAAAATAATTCTTAATTTAAGATAAAAATTATTAATATTAGTGTCATAAGAATGTCCGTTATTTAGAGTGTCCTGTATTTAGAGGTTTTCCTATACATAAATAGTAAAAATGTCCCCGTCCCCGAAAAAACGTCCGCTATTTGTAGGTGTCCGCTATTTAGAGGTGTCTGTTTAGGGAGGTTTCACTGTATATTAATTTTAAAATAGTATGTTGAACATACCAGGGATATTTTGGAGTGGCCTATAAGGTGCTAAGTAGACTTGACCATAATTAGTAATTGGATTTCAAGTTACGGGGGGGGGGGGGGTTAGGTTATCGCCACGTCGTCCCTACAAATCCCGTCCTGTTCCAGCTTCTGGTTTCAGTCTGTCTTTTATCA